GGGAAGGACCTATGGAGAGTGGATGGTTGTGAAGAAAAAAGAATGGAAGTCGGGTCTAAGGGAAGGAATGGTACAGAAAAACATACAGGCCACCTACAAAAGAAACTGTTACCATGCACTCCATGCAGACCTGGGGGCCGAGAACATAAATGCTGTAATGGGTGATGAAAGCGGTCAGGGTGGTGGAAAGAAAAACATGGCAAATAAAGGAGTGAAATCATCAGTTGAGGAGATACAAGGCGCGAAAGAGGGCACTAGGGACACTCAGCTTGATATTGAAAGTAACAAGGAAAGGGAAGTAAGGAAACAGAAGGGGAGTAGTGGTACGAAGAACAACAACAAATGGGAATTATAATCAGAGGCTAACGCCAGGTATCATACTGAAGAGGTTTCACAAAAAGTGTCAGGGTCGAGGATGGAAATGGGGAAGATAAGGGCAGTAGCTGAGAGGATTATTAATCCAGGGAAGAGCCCGGGGACAGCCGCTGGAGGGAAGAAGACGGAAAAAGGGCCAAAGGTAGCGACAAATGCTGAGGGTGCGGGGAATCGATCCCCTTCAGTCCCCAGATGAAGCTTTTAAGCTATAACTGCCACGGTTTGGGAAGTATGCGGGCAGTTAGATCTCTTAAGTCGCTTCTGCGACAAACTTCCCCACAGGTCGTGTTCCTGATGGAGACGCGTCAGCTGTGCGAAGAAAATGAGGTAACAAGGATGGAGCTTGGATACAAAAATGGGACGAGTTGGCCAACTGATGTCTCGAATGGTGGACGGGCAGGAGGCTTGAGTATTTGGTGGAGTGATGAGGTACAACTTACTGTGATGTCAAGAGAGCAGCATTACATAGATGCCAAAGTGGTTGACGAGCTAGTTGGAGAGTGGCGCTTCACGGGGGTGTACGAATGGCCTGAAGGGAGGGAAAAGGAGTGGACGTGGCAGTTGCTCCGATAACTCGCAGCATAATGGAAAGGCCCATGGCTCTGTGGAGGCGACCTAAACCAGGTGTTATCGGATTTTGAAAAAAGGCGAGGGAATCTTCTGGCGGAGGAGGAAATGAGGGCTTTCTCCGATTGTCTAGTCGATTGTCTAGTCGAAATGAGGGGTTTCTCTGGTTACCCGTATACTTGGGAGAATAGAAGGAGAATGGGCGGGTATATAGAGGAAAGGTTGGATCGTTTCATAGCCAACTAGGGTTGGCGGGCAATTTGGCCGAATGCCCGAGTTTCTCATTTGGGCAGCACCTGATCCGATCACCGTCCAATTTTTTGTGAAATGTTAGGTGAGGAGGATGAGGAAGTGAAATGGGGGTGGTCGTTTCGGTTCGAACCTCATTGGTTGCGATATGACGGGTGCAAACAAGTGATTGAGGAAGTTTGGAGCCTGGGAACCGGGGATATCTATAGCAAGTTTGGACAGGTGAGTACAAAACTTGATAATTGGAGTCAAGTCACCATCCCGAACTTTAAAAGACAGAAGGCAAAGATTCAGAAAGCGCTGAAGGCGCTGGATAGAGGTGTGCAAACGGACATCGTGCGGGACCAACGCAAGAAACTTCTTGCTGAGCTCGAAGACGTAGAATGTGAGGAGGAAATTTTCTGGAAGCAACGATCCCATGAAGATTTGATGAAGGCGGGGATAAGAACACGAACTTTTTCCATAGGAAATCGTAAGCACGATGGAAAAGGAACACGATAAGAAAGTTGAAGGAAGCCGCGGGAAATTGGTGGGCTGGACAGAAACGTGTTATGGCTTGTCTACTGAGCTACTTTGGGAACTTATTTACAGCTGGGGAGCGACCTTCCGAGACGCCAGTGCTGGATTCTATTGGTAGGCGGGTCACCCAGGAGGCAAATGCGGAATTAGTGAAGGAATTGACCCGAGAAGAGATTTTCAAATCCCTGAAACAAATGGGGAGAAGAAAGGCCCCGGGAGCAGACGGTCTATCGGTCTTGTTCTTCATCAAATTCTGGAGTATTGTTGGGGATGAGGTCACAGAAGCTCTACTACAGATTTTTTATCGAGGAGAAATCCCTGAGGGGCTCAACCATACGTTGATTGCCCTAATACCAAAAGTCAAGGAACCAACGATGGCAAAGGATTTTCGCCCGATAAGCGTGTGCAACATCTTGTATAATATATTGGTGAAGGTACTAGCGAATCGACTAAAAGTATTGTTAAACGAGATTATCTCCCCGGAGCAGAGCGCCTTTGTGCCTGGGCGGTACATAGCAGATAATGTGATGACGGCTTTTGAGTGTTTCCACACTATGAAAGTTAAGTCAAAGAATAAGAAGGGGTTCCTAGCAGTGAAAACGGATATGGCGAAAGCCTATGATCGGGCGGAGTGGTTGTTTTTGGAAGAAGTGATGAGGAGAATGGGGTTCTCGGGAAGATGGATAAGACTGATAATGATGTGTGTGTCCAATCGGTCACATATTCGATATTAGCTAATGGACACATATCGCAGCAGGTTGTGCCAAGTAGGGGATTACGTCAAGGCGACCCTCTATCCCCATACTTGTTCTTACTGGTGGCGGAGGGATTGAGCACATACACGGAGAAGGCGGTTCGGGAGAAGAGGATTCATGGGATATCGGTAGCTAGGGGAGCACCGGCGATCTCACACCTTTTTTTCGCTGACGATGCTATCTTTTTTGCCAGGGCTACAGTTCAGGAGAGTATGGAGCTACGCCGAATCCTAAAAGACTATGAAATCGAGTCCGGCCAACTTGTAAACTTGGAAAAATCAGAGGTCTCCTTGGGTGGGAACGTGAAGACCCATCAACGACTGCTGGTGAGTTCGACGTTGGGTATGAGGGCAGTGGAGAAGCATAAACAAATATTTGGGCCTAGTCACTGAGGTCGGGAGGTCGAAGAAAGCACTATTTACTTATCTAAAAGAAAGGGTAAGGAAGAAGTTAGCAGGGTAGAAGGAGCGGGTGATGTCGGTGGCAGCTCGGGAAGTTATGATCAAATCAGTTGCACAAGCCTAGCTTAACTATACGATGGCGGTGTTTAGGGTCCCAGACAGGATAATTGATGACATTCATGGCCTCATCACAAGATTTTGGTGGGGTCAGCGAGCGGAGGAGAAGTGCATCCCTTGGATAGCACGAGAAGAGCTAATCCTCCCGAAGAGTGAAGGTGGAATTGGCTTCCGGGACCTGCGAGGCTTCAATAAAGCCCTTATGGCTCGGCAATTGTGGAGCATCTATAGCAGAACTGAATCTCTTATAGCACGGGTATTGAAGGCCAAATATCATAAACGAGAGGAGATCCTGGACGCTAGGGTGGGGTTTTGGCAGAGTTATGTATGGAGAAGCTTGATGAGTGCACAAGATTTTCTGGTCGATGGTTTGCGATGGAGAGTAGGGAACGGAGCACATGTACGAGTATGGGGTGACCGATGGGTTCCTTCTGCTCCGGGTTATATCATCCAGTCGCCCCTCATGGGGTTACCAGTTGACTCAGTTGTGTGAGAGCTGATTGACGACGAGCATGAGCAGTGGGATAGGGATCTGTTAGAAAGTTGTTTTCCAACAACGATGGTGGAAGCCATCTCTCGGATTCCTCTGCGCGGCTCTGGGGAAAAAGACCAGCTGATCTAGGCGGATAGCAAGAGTGGAGTTATACCGCCCGCGAGGGGTACAGGCGGTGGCTTACGAAAACTCGTCGTGAGAAAGGCCATATTTCTACCGGAGACCCAATAATGTGGAAGAAGCGGTGGGGAATGACGATACCTCCGAAAGTCAAGCACTTTATGTGGCGATTCGCAAGGGACTCTCTTGCAACGGGAGATCATGTGATAATCCGGAATGAGCAGAGGGGAGACAACTGCTCTTTTTGTGATGAAAAGGAGACACAGGTACATGCTTTCGAACAGTGTGCATGGGCAAGTGGTTTGTGGGAAAATCCCAGGTAGCTCACTGCTTTGAGATGAGAGGGGATGCGCAAAGCATGGAGTGGGTAATGAAAGTAGCGACGACGGTATCAGAAAAGGAGTTTGAGGATTGGATCATGTTGATGTGGATGATATGGAAGGAGAGAAATGCTCAAATGTTTAATGGGTTGAAGTTAGACGAGGAAGATATAGTTCCCCGAGCAGCAGCATTGCTTGACGAGTACCGGCAACAACAAGCTACTTTTCATCCACCACAGCAAAGCACAGCTGGGCGGCACTGGACGAAGCCGACTCCGAGGAAAGTTAAGCTCAACATTGACGCTGGAGTGTGCGAGGATGGATGCGGACTAGGGGTGGTGGTAAGAGATGCTGAAGGCAGGTTCCTAATGGCGGCGGCTAAGAGGCTAAGAGGTGAACAAAACCCGGAAATGGGCGAAGCTCTGGCGGCCGAGTTAGGACTGCAGCTTGTGCGACAACACCAACTTGGTTCGCCTATTCTCGAGATGGATTGTGAGTCGGTGCTTAATCGCATACGAGACGCGAACAAGGATCAAACAGAGCTTGGAGTGATATGCAGGAACATAAAGAGGCTACTTGAGGAAATGGGCGATGGAGGTTGCAGGCATGTTTACCAATCGGGAAATGAGGTGGCACATATCATGGCACACTTGAAGACAAGATGGAATGAGATGGAGATTTGGTTCGACGGCCCCCCTATGAGTGTAATAGACCAGCTGGAGCTGGACTCTGTAATGGCTTTCGTTCCTTAATAAAGCCTGGTGCAGATTTCTGTCAAAAAAAAATATATATTGCTCAAATTTCACAGCACATAATCGAACAGAACAGAACGTTGGCTTCGTAGTAGTAGTGCTCATCAAATCATCATTAAGAAGTTGGGCAATACAGGCTGGTTTCATTGCTATTAAACTCGTCATATACGTATCCTCCCCCCATCTGGTCAAAATAATAATCAGAAGGGAAGAACTAGATAAATCAATAAATATCAGTATATCACCCACCTGAAAATAAAAGGAAAAAGAAAAAATAGAATACAACACCAAGAAGAAATTCATAACGTTCAAAGAGACAAAGAACGGAAATCCCACCAACTTGGCATTTTTTGCGTAGTTATAGCGGAGCGAAAGGTTCGGGCAGGGGCTCAAAGCCATGATCAAAGATAGAACCTTGATCGAATTTGTCGTCAATGCTGTGCAGCCAGTTCATGTTCTTAACGTCCTCTTTCAGTAACATTGCATCATACCGCGAGCTCTCGTATACATCACCTTCGCCCAATCTTCCAAATTGCCGTCCTTCATTCGCTTGGTGATGGTTTCCCGTTTCGACATGCCTTCCCACCGCGTAATGCCCATTCTCCACAACCTCCCCATTGCGAAGGTGGTGGCTGTTACCATTGACCAATGCCGCCGCCTCTAGAGCAGTAGAAGAGCGAACAGTCTGGCTCTGGGTTTTATTCGGGCCACCGCGGATGCTTTGGGGAAAGAGTGTAGTCCCTGTTAGCGGGCGAGTACCTCCTGCTCCATTTCTTATGTCCTGCAATCACCATTCAAATTCTAGATCAAACACAAAACTTCTCGACCTAGAGAATTGAACTAGAGATGTCCCTTTTAGCTCTTCCGACAGGGTCACTTAAACATGCTTAACTTGATCAAACAGGAAAAATGTAGTGTACGTGCGTACCATATGCCTGATAGCCATGTCCAATGACTTCTTAGATATGGTTCTTCCAAATCCGGTGCTGTCAGCAGAAGTCGAAGAAGAAGAAGAAGACTTCAAAGTTCTCCGCGCTCCGGAATCTGATGATCCATGTGTGCTCCTCCGAGACTCGAGCACATCAGCAGCATGCCCATTGGAAGAGATACGACCCCTTCCAGGTGGTTCTGAGACTCTTCCTCTGGTAACAATTGGAGATGAATTCCTTCGTGGCACACTCCCATTGCCTGCTGCGCTTTCTTGGGTTCCTCTCCCGCCGATAGAAGCACCTGGTCTGGACCTCCCAGCAGAAAGCGGTCTCTCAGGCAGAGTCGTTCGAAGATTTGGAGGTGTGTCGAGTGGAAAATCAGGAGGGACAACAGGCTGCTGAGCAAGGGCTCGAACTCTTGGACCCGGGGAGCTAGGGCGGGATGATGGTGCTGATGTGCGCCCACTTGAAATGGGACGTCCACCTGAAGTTGACACAGAAGAAATTGAGGATACAGGAGCCCGGCGTGTTGGTGTTGATGGACGAGAACTTGAGCGAGCAGCTGGAGGATTGTTCAAGTTTACAGGGGTATGTGGCCTGGAAGAAGTCGGGGTCGAAGGTCGTGAGGGTTGGGATGGTCGAGATCGCTCCGGTACAGAGACACTGGGCGATGTACGAACTCTGGATGGAGTTGATGGCCTCGATGTAGACGAGCGGCCTGAAGGCGTCGAAGGCCTTCCTATGGATGGTGAACGGGTGAGAGGGGAGGATGGTCTTATGTAAGAAGAGACTGAAGTTGAGCTTGTGTTTAGGATTGAAGATGGAGATCTATTGGATGAATATGAAGTGAACTGCGAGGCAGTAGTAGAAGAACGAGTCACTGAACTACTCCTAGCAGGTCTTGTGGAATGATAGCTCTCCGATTGTGAAACTGAAAGCTGAAGCAAAACAGAAACCCAGATCAGTATTTCTGTTTCCATGTTCAGAAAGTGATAGGTCGCTAGATAGTACCATACCCTTGAAGCCTTTGTTGTAGAAGTTGATCTGGAGAGAGCAGCACTGTTCCTAGGAGCTACCACTGGAGGTGGTGGTTGTGACGACTCATTTGCATCCGCCGACGGGAAAAGGGGAGTTCCTGGAGGAGTGAGTAGCCTAAAACAAGGGGGAAAAGGGGATAAATTAGTGCAAGTAGCTCCTACTTATAGGCACTATTGAGTAATAAGACAAAGTTGCAATTTGCATCAAATGCTCATCGCAGGATTTCCAGAAGCATTAACCACTCGGCCAATCATTATTTTAGCACTGTAGCCATTGTTATCTCTTCTGCGACCTTTTACCAGTAACCCAAACTCCATTTCTAGTTCTACTCGTATTCATTTCCTCCAATCACCAAAAAAGCATGATTCAATCAGGAGATACACAATCAGGGTGTGAACATTTTGCTTACCAGTCGTAATCATTCTTGCCTCCTTCGATGGATGCGAGTAGATCGTCGATCCCGGGTTTGGGGGCGACTTTGGCAGATCCAAGTGAAAGCCTCCCAAGTTTGACTGAAGTAGCTGCAAATTGAGGCCCCATACCAGATCGTCAAGAAAACCAACACCCAGATTCGCAAACAAAACAGATTCAATTCATGCGGGATGGAGGGATTAATTAAGCAGAAGTGGCGGGAGCGGATTATAATCGGTACAAAAATGTCGGGTAGCGAACAATCGTTTTCTCTTGGATTCCGGAAGGATAATGAAAATCTGTCCACACCGGATGCGGACAAAGAAGAAGATTGGAAGATAATGGAAAACAGAGTGCAACTCCAGATTAGATCTTGGATCAATTAGCTCAAAAGGAGAGAGTGCAGAGGAAGAGTAAGTGAAGAGTACCGTCGGAGGGGTCATCGGAAGGGGCGAGAGAGAAGGAGCGGCGGTTCCTGGAGAAGAGATCCAAGTTCTCATCGGAGTCCTTGGTGAGCGAATTCAAACTGTGGCCGCGACGGTGGAGGTGATGAGATGCGGCGAGCAGAGTTCTGCCTCCTCCGCCACCGCCACCTCCGACCAGAGATTCTCGGAAATTGCTTCTACTCATTGGATTGACGGAATGCGGTGGCGGCAAGAGAGCAAGCTGGCGAAAGCCGCCGCTCTGTAACTTGAAGAAGGAGGAGGAGGAGGAGGAGAAGATCCAGGCAGAGTTCAGTGAAGATGAGAGAGAGCTGGTGTAGTTGTTGTGAGAGGTCTAATTCCAGTTCATGTACACAGAGCAGGCATATGTTTCTGGTAATAATTCATGGCATTCGGAAATCAAAAATGGTGAAAGCGAGGTGAGAGGGAAGGGAATGCAGAAACAGGGGAGATGGATGGATGGAAAAAGGTGGAAATGGGGAAGAAGGAGATGGAGGCGGTGGTGAGAGAGCCGTGAAAAGGGACCCACCGGCAGCTTCACTTGAGTGACGGTCCATTTGTTTAATATATACTTCTACTCTGCTATTATTTTTCGTCCTTTTTTGGGGTTTTGTGTAGGGCATTGTTTTTATTTTTGAACCGTAAAGACAACCAATCCATCACGGTAAAAAGCAAGTTTGCGTGAGTTTAAGTTAATTGACTTATTCTTGTTTCACTAAAAGGGAAACAAATCTAGAATATTGTAAGAATCATTTCAAAAAAATGTATTATAAGAATAATTTAATCCGGCCGGGACTTGACTTGAGTTTGAGTGTAATTGTTGGCTAGGGACGAGCATTCGGTTTGGTTTCACATTTCGAACCAAACTCGAATTAGTCAAACCCGATTTTGATAATATTTGTATGAATTCGGATGACAAAAGCTCTCAATTCGGGGTACAAAGTTGTGTCAACCAATCCTGAATTTGGACACCTGACTCGAGAAATCAAACTTTGCATGAGTTCAAGACTAGTCCAGCCCTAAAAAAACTCACGCAGCTCGCTCTATAATAAATGATCTTGTTTTATCTACTTCTAATGCCGCAAGTAATCGCACTGATAACAGTGAATCTAGTAGTGTTTTGTTGATAGTTCTGATGTTTTCATTCATGATAGATGTCTAAATAGAAAATATTAAGGAGTCGTTTGGAAGTTGCGATTGTTTTGGTGCGATTGTTACTATACAATATACATGTATTGTTTAGAATGCATCATTTTTTGATTTTTTAGCAGAAACAAATACATGGATTGTTTCTATGATGTGGCATAAGCTATCACTCAAAATGAGTGATTGTTATATCACACCTTGTAGGTGTGATTGTTGAGATTGTTTTGTCTAAACTTTTAGCTTATGTGACATACATAATCACACATACCAAACGTTGTATTTTTACAATGCATCAAATTCGACAATATATGTATAATATTATACATGCATTCACAACAATACATCTATTCAACAATGACAACTTCCAAATCACCCCTAACTTTTAAGGAGTAATGATTTTATCAATTTTGTATTTATCTCTGTACGTAATCATCACTAACCATTATACTTTTATGTATACTATTATTCTTATCATTAGAAAATAGCAAAGATGTCTATTTTCAAATATTGAAGAGCCAGGAACCAAGAAGCAATTAAGAAACAAGATATGATAAATGGACTTTTTGATCATTTATGCTTCGAAGCATCATGCAGTTTATGATTCCAAATGGTGGATTTTGATATTTCTACTTGTCTTGAATATTAGAATGATGAACAAGGTATGTTTGAATGCTTGTGTTGAGTTCAAATTGTGCATAAAAACAGGAGAGACAAGCTGCTCAGCACACCCAGCCGATATAATTTGGTTTGGTCAAAATTTCCAACCGATCAAGGATATAATTTGGTTCAGTAAACCAAATCCTAAATTTTTCTGTTCGAGTTTGGTTTCGGTTAATAAGGAAATGGTGAACCCGATATGCTTCTCCACAATTGCGTTCGACCAAACCGATCTGATGCCCACCCTTATTATGGACTTATGTTCGTATAATACTAAATACAAAATCTCTCACTCCGCCAGATTTTGCTCATATTTATCATTTGGGAAGGGGTAACAAAACGAGAGAATTGAGGTTGAGAAACTTCAAAAATTGGCTCATGTCGAATTTAAAAAATTGATGCCCCCAACTATTTTTAATTTGGCATGGGCTTGTTAAACTTTGCTAATATTTTTTATTTATTTTCAAATGATTTTTAATGTTAAATGATAATGAAATTTAATTATATGATTTTAAATTTTTTATTTAAATTATTGTATTTTTATTGATTTCTCAAGTTGACATTGCGTGTTAACTAACACTTAATAGTGTGACCGTCAAAATTGACGGTCAACCCATGAGGAAGGACAAAGTGGTCCAAGAAGTTAGCAATTTTAGACAACAAGGGGATTTTAGAAAGTTCAGACAAAAGTAGTCCATTAGTATAAAGTTCGGACCAAATTAAGGTATTAACTTAAATTTTGATATTTTTATTATTATAGGGAGGCAAACCCGCCATGTTACGTTACGACAGAGGTAGCCTAGCTGCTACACTATTAGAGGAGTCCAAAGAATGACAGGTTACAAAGGTACCTGGAACATAATTAAGAAGCTAACTCAAACAAACTAAGCATTTAGGGTCCTCTCCTGCACCACCTGCCAGAGGGAAACTAACCCCATTAAATCCTCAATAAGCATCTGATGAGCTCGGTTGGAGGCACGTTAAGTTCATACATACCAAAGGGATTGACGAGATTGTACTTCGAGGGTCAGTCGGTGAGTCTATTCCCTTTCCGGTACATATGAACCAAACTCACCGCCCAACTGTGATCTAAACACCTATGGATAGCCTAAGAGAGTAGCGTGCGGGTGCACCAGATCTGTGCGTTTCTTTATGAGGTCCAGAGCTAGTTGCGATTTCGATTCCAAAATTAAGCTTCAATGGCGAGTCAGAGGCCCTGTAGAATACCCCATAATTAAGCTTCAATGGTTGGTCCATTACCAATCTTGCTGCAGAATCCACTAATCCAATCACCCGAGCTATTATGGAGAACTTCACCCACTATTATAACTTCGTGATTACCTTGAGCAGCACCGTAAGTATTTAGTTTCCACCATCCCGTCAAGGGAGCAGACAAACCAATAAGGCTTTCAATGCGAGAAGGTTTGCCGATTAAACCTTCCTTCGAGCAGCCTGTCTTCCAGACTTTGCATCATTCTAGAGCTTTGGAAATGATGTAGTTTTGAAGCGAGGAGGGAGACAACTTCTTGCCATGGAAGGCACCATCATTTATGCACTTCCGGATGTACCAAAGAATGATGATGAAGAAGCTAGACCACTGACTTGACCAGCTTCCTTGGAAGTGGTCTGTTAGGTTGCTGGCTAGCTAGTCATCATAGGTTAAGTTGAAGAAGTGCTACAGCCGACTAGGGGAAACAATTTTTTGCCACACTATTTTCGCTCCCCTACAGTCCCTTAAACAGTGAAGGTTAGTTTATGGAACATCTTGACATTCTGGGCACTTGTCATCCGAAACGAGATGTCTAAACTTCCTAACACTGTTTGTAGCGAGTCTGCCATTAACTGCAACCTGACTCTTTCTGGAACCTGGAACTTCCAAAAAGACCCTGGATGAGTCATATGAGTTTGAGAAGATATGGCTTTGTAGGCTGATGAAGCTGAGAAATGGCTTGTCGAAGACAGATACCAAATTGGTTGATCATCTTCTAGGGGATCAGGATCAAGAAGCACCATTCTGATGCTATCCACTATATCGGTTGGAAGGCTTTATTGGAAGTCGCTGACCCTCCATCCTTCTAACAAGTACCAATAGTCCGCCAACTTCTTGCTACTTATGTCTTATGTTATCTCATCGGTTGCAAGATCAATAAGGGGAACATGTCCAATGCAAGGGTCTAGCGATAAGTAAGTGCTGCGACCATTCTTAATGTTAACAACATATCCCTTTTTTAGGACTTTAGTGGTGGAAGTAAATCTTCTCCAAGCAAGTGAACTTCCATTAGATTTGTAAAGAACGACTAATTTCTCTTTGGAACGAGTGTATTTGTCCCTCAAAACTTGAGTCCATAGTGCTAGGTCATTGGTGACGAGCTTCCAACCTCCTTTGGCGAGCATCGCCGAGTTGACTAAGCTGGTTGATCGGGACAGGTTACGGTGATTACTAAGGGTAAATTGGGTATGGAAAAATAAATTGTATTAATTAATTTTCTAATAAATTTCATTCTAGGTAGTTAAAAAAATTTATTAATTACAATTCTCTCTCTTTCTCTCACTTTCGTAATCTCCAGCCAGATCCCCTTCCTTATTTTTCTCAATCTATATGCAAAAAAAAAAAAACACGAAATCACTACCAATCCATTAGACAACCATTACCACTTTGAAAAACATCAATACCATTGCAGAAGTAAATCTATACCATTACGCCAAAACTACCAATATAAACAATCTACCAATATAAATCTACACCATTTCACAAAAAATCAATACCATTGCAAAAGAAAAAACAAAAAACCAATACCAAAACGTTAACAACTACCACTGCACCCTACACGAAACACTACCACTACCACTTATTAACAACTACCATTGCAGATTACAACAATACCATTACATGATAATCTTTTTTTTTTTTACCAATAGATAGCTAGCTTTTATTACCAAAACCAAAATCAAAAGAGAACACTGTTTACATCACAAAAAGTACCAACGATCAAAATCAAAACTCTCCACACTAGCAGGCAACAAAGAAAGGGTCTTCCTGGCCACCTCATGAGCCACCCAATTGTTACTCCTGCCAACAAAAGCAATGTCAAAACTCACAAACCTCCGCCGTATCCCACCAATCTCTTCCAAAATCCTTCCCCCGCGCAAATCCCTCGTATCCGACCTCTGAATCTTGTCAATGACTACCTTTGCATCCCCATAAAACTTCACTTCAGTAATACCCTTCATAGAGCACCACTGAATCGCTATCAACTCAACTAAGAAGGGATCCACCAGACTTGCATAGGAGAAACCTTTAACAAAGCAAACACTGCCCATCGCATCTCGGACCACCAAACCCCCCGCACCATGAGACCCCGGTGCCACCGCACCATCCACAAAACAGGAAAATCGTAAACCATCCGGCCCCTGCCTAGACCAGCCACCACCAGTCACCTCCCCACCCAAACGACCTGACTCTTGCTGTCGCTGGGCGGGTTGCACAACCGCCAGCCATTCCCTCACCTGACTTTCATACTGTCGCACCAGCCGCGGAATGGCATACTGCACATGATCAAAAACTACCCAATTTCGACTCTTCCAGATTCTCCATAACAGCGCCACTATCCGTACAATCCTCTCAGTACTAGAGTTCTGCTCAACCAATCGACGAAAGAACAAAGCGAAGTTACCAGTTTCAGGAAAACTTACCCCTCCGCCAATGCTCGAGCTATCCCAAAGCGCCCTAGCCACTGTACA